TTCTCCTCCATTTCGGGCAAATTTTTCACTGACTCGAGTATAAGCCGTGGCAGCTTTTTTCAGCTCAAAAAGTGGGCTGAAAAACTAGGCTTATACTTGAGTATATACAGTAGCTCAATCTCTTCGGTTTAGTTTATCTGCCCAGCTGTCTTTCTCTTTAACTTTGGCTTCCCCCATTTATCTCGTTCCTTAGGCAATGACCAAATCTCTTGGTGATTACGGGGTTTATTATGAATACCACCTACTCTAACCTCACTTGCAGTGAACCGCTCAAGAGGTATAACTTTCTTGCACCATTCAGGACTCCTAGGTATAACATTGTTTGCTTGCCTTGTGTTTTTCCTACTCACAGGATACACCCTGTAATGTGTCTCCTCACAAACAGTACACTCTAAATACCTCTTGCACTGCTTTGACTTTTGCCACCTAGCTGGGTCTGGCATCTTTTTCTATATGTTAAAACTTCCAGTCTTCTTTGTAATAAGTTTATACAATTGTCATGTGTAGGAGTATTCTTAAGTACACATGCACAATTGTTTTCTTGCATTCCCAGAACATACAGACCATCCTTTTTAACCCCTTGTGCACCTACCTGTCTGTTTTTCTTAATGGTCTATAGTCCCCCAGCAAATACTATTTCGTAACCCTGTCTGTCTAACATGGATATACCCAATAAATTGTGCTCTAAAATAGGTACATATAACACGTTGTACAATGTAGCATATATTTCTGGTACATACACATTACCTTCCCCTTTTACAGCAGTTCTCTGTCTATTACCCAGACTAATCCACGTTTGCCTTGCTGGTTTCAAACCAGAAAACACATGTGGATCGTTAACAATATGCTGGCTCGCCCCATTGTCCAACAACCACGTGTTCCTGGTGTGTTCAGTTGTTGATGCTGCCAGGGAATATGACCCTGGAGAACTGTTCCACATTTGCTGCTTAGATCCACACCCTTGTCTTGCTGCTCCTCTGGTTCCTCCTCTCAGGACAGCATCTCTGAAAATGCTCAGTAGAACCACACGTGTAGCATCTCTTCACAAAATGAATTCTCTAATTTGCTCTGCTGGCATCCTGGACTGTTGCAGATGTTGGTCAGTGCTGAAAGCTCTCTCCTCCCTTTCCTCTCTAGCCGTTCCTGCTCCTCCTCCAAAAACCGACCAGTTAAATATGAAATGGTTAAGTCCTGTACTTGCATGGACTGTAGATTAGTCACAAGAACGTCCCATGAATTGTCCAAGAAACTAAGCACCACATACACCTTGTAAAAGTCATTCCCCTTTCTTCCAACTCAAGGAATGTCCTTCTAACAGTCTGCAAATGTGTGGACATACACTCTCCCAGCTTGAGCTGTGCCTTATACAGTTTCCTAGTTAGCAACACCTTACTGCTAGTAGTCTCTCTCACATACACACTGTGCAACGCCTCCCAGAAATCTTTAGCAGACTGGAGATTTCTCATGTGTAGCAGCTGACTGTCTTCTAAAGCAAGAATTATGCTGGCTAATGCTTTCTCATTACATCTCTGGTCACCATAATCCAGGACTGCTGGTGGATTAGTAACAATTGTACAGAACTCCTCCTTACGCAAATACATCTCTGTTCTGACCCCCCCCTTGACGGCTCGTTAACAAACGCAGGCAGGCAACTTAAAAGGAAGGCTTTTCTTTATCAGTTTTCAGTTCAAACTAGCTTCGAGCCCAGAAATAACATAAACATACATCTCTGATAAGAATTCAAAACAAAAGCTCTTACAAACGCTGCCCTTCTACCACCATCTCCACGGATCAGATTTACATGAAAACACCAAAACATATATCCAAATGTAACAGGCATAATCACGAGTAATAAGCAAGCAATATTGTACCAGACACGGAACACACGAAGGAACATTGACTCCAGCGACTGGGACGTGGCAGCATCTCTCCTTTTATCTCCAAACCTCCTCCCCCAAGCCCCAGCTGCATACTGAATTTTGTATCCCGAAAAAGCTCTCAGCAGAATTGCTGAGTCACAACACTATCCCCCACCGCAGGGCCCTTTCCCCGGGGTCCAATGGTCGGGA